GTTCCCCCACAGCATAGATTACAGAGCCTAGATGAACTACCAGCTCGATTAAAACTGGATGCAGACTGATGATTATGTAATGTTGCTGCAGGCTTAAATTAATTTTTAAATGGGCCATATTTTTTGCAGATGCTTGTTTTGTATGATGAAACATAAGATGTAAGCCGAAAACAACAGAAAGTAGGACAGGAAATGGTTCTGGAAATGTTCTTTTAACAGTTTAGTTTGAATGAACTCAATGTACTGCCAAAAAATATATATTTTATTGTTGATCTGACAATAAATTATATTTTATTGTGAAATTTGTTTGGTTGTTATTCACTCTTTTGATAAATATAGTATCTGGTAAAATACTGCTCAGACATCAGTCCCGAAATACAAATGTATGACTGCCAGTACATATAGTGCTCTGGAAAAAAGTTTTTTGAGATTTTATCCATTATAATTAGAAATCCTACACAGCTTTTCTCTATTTTCTAACCACAAAATTAATTGCTATATATATATATATATATATATCAAATATATATTTCTAATATATATATAATCTCATCCTGTTTGTTAATTTGGCCTCTTTGTCCTGACAGAATACGTTTTCTTTCAAGCAAAGGTTTTTTTTTTTTGATCAATTGTTTACTGGTCAATTAACAAATAATTAATAAATCAATTAACGTGTATATAAATGATTCAATAAATTAATCTAGTTATATACATAAAAACATGAATAAAACAAATATAAATTCATAACTACTTATTAGTTTTCTCTGTAAACTCAGCAGATGGCGCTGTAGTAAATGTCTTGTAGTGTACTGAATGAGGGCCATTAAGTTTGTGTGACAACTGAACCCTATGAATTTTCATGGTCGGATAACATCTGAAAAACAAACAAAAGTGTTTAAATGATCTAATTGTTTTCTTTTTTTACGTCACTGGTGAATGAATCAGAATATAATTTCTACAGTGAAATAGTTCAGACAAGAATACAATAGAGGTAGTTTCTGTAGAGCGCGGATTTCATTGTTTCAGCGCTGAGGCTGTGGATGGATGGTGGAGAGGGAGATCACTTAACCCTAATACTCATTCCTCCCCATCTGCTCCAGCACAAATACCAGCTATGGTTGGACATTCAAAAAACGAAAACTGGGCCAAAAATGAGAATGGCAAAAAAATAAAACATGAATAACGTTTATGCTCTTCAATTATTGTGGAATTTGCATTAGGATGAGAAGATTATGAAATGAGGGCAAACACCAGCAGGACACAGACTGTGCACTTCCATCTGCCTATACAGAGTCACTGCTCCCTGAGTGTTTCCTCAGGCGATCTTCACATAATCGACAACTGGAATACATCCTCTCTGTTGTGTTTCTATCTGGCTGCTCTGTAAGCATGTTGTGTGTATTGCTGGAGTTCCCTCAGTAGAGCGCTTAAAACAAAGCTGGCTTTAGAGGCTCAGCCAGTCGGCTATGAGGGGCTGTGCTGCAATCCAATTGAAAACCTTAATGGGATTGGGAAACCAAATCAACAGAGGATCGTGAAATAAGAAGAAAGGGAGAGGAGATCGAGGTTAAGAGCAGTTAAGATGAAATATGCCAAATAAAGATGGGAAGAAAGACAAAAATAAAGGTTCCAAAAAGAACATTTCAGTGAACATTTCCACTAAAGAACCATTGTGTGAAGAGCATTTTAATAATCAAAATACCTTTTTCCACCATAAAGAACCTTTTGTGCTGTGAAAGGTTTCATGGATGTTAAAGGTTCTTTAAAGGCATCTATTTATTAAATACGGATTCTTTACTGGGGCACTATATAAATAAATAGAATAAAATAAGTGGAGAGAATTGAAGCAAAAATAGACTATGACCACAAGAAGTGAATGGCAAATTACAAGTGAATAAAAAAAAATACTCACGCAATGTCAGTCATGCAGGCACTTTACCTCATGTGGTCACTCATGTGCAAGCATAACTGCTCTAGGTCATGATCTCTAGGGGCCTTCCCCCATCTCACAAAAGGTTTAGCCAAACAAACAAATAAATAAATTGTCGAGTAAGTAAATAAAGGAGCTGAGCTTTACCTGCAGCAAAAAGAGCACTCTGGCTCTTTGTTTGAACCCTTTAAAATATTCAGATGATGAAAGATATAAATGAACAGAGTGGGGTTTATAACTGGCAAGGAGGAAAAGTATGCTTCATAAAAAGTTACTAAAGTTAAAGTTAAAGAGTTAAATGAGAAATTATGATAGGTAAGAAAGAATCACTTCCAGTCCAAATTTTGCTGCACTTTGTGATATTTGGAAAAAATCTGCAAACTTAGACAAAGAGATCAAAACACTCAACAAAATGTCATACAGCAACGCATGTGACAGTCATATTGGAATCATCGAACTCTAAAGACCTTCATGCTTTACTGCTGATCAGAGAAAACACCTCATTCTCCATATACAGTACAACCAACACAATATTCCCACACATTATTTACAAAGTATTTTCCCCAACATGAAACAAGACAGTATTTTAAAGAGAAAGACGGATGGTGTTTACATTATATCATACACAAACGTCAGTCAATAAGCAGCTAATTGGGTTTAAACAGGATTCAGTTGGAACAAAGCAAGAGATGCAACACTGAGCATCATTTCTAGTGCAAAGGCCAATTCATCCGTTAGACTTTAAAGGGTTAGTTCACCCAAAAATGAAAATCCTGTCATTAATTACTCACCCTCATGTCGTTTCAAACCCGTAAGACCTTCGTTCATCTTCGTATGCTGTTCTGTGTCAGCTGCGTCACGCCGGATCCGTTTCCTATGTTGTTGTTATTTGATCTGAACGGAAACAGCATATCCGCGTGACGCAGCTGACACAGAACAGCATACGCTGTTTACGTCCAGTGGATATTCTCCAAAATGGCACCAGGGTGATGCGGAGGAGCAAATTGTTGAATAAAGTCGTTATTTTTTTTCTTTTGCGCACAAAAAGTATTCTCGTAGCTTCGTATAATTGTGGTTGAACCACTGATGTCACATGGATTATTTTACAGATCTCCTTGCTACGTTTCTGGACTTGGGAACATTTCAGTTGCGTTGCTGTCTATGCAGGGTCAGACAGCTCTCATATTCCATCCAAAATATCTTAATTTGTGTTCCGAAGATGAACGAAGGTCTTACGGGTTTAAAACGACATGAGGGTGAGTAATTAATGACAGAATTTTCATTTTTGGGTGAACTAACCCTTTAAGTTTGACATCATCATCATCTTCATAGATGACTGCAATTCCACATATGGAAATTATGCAATGACTGCATGTTACAAAACTGTTCAGTCCGAAATTCCCAATGCTTACTTTACCATTTTAACCAAACTCCTCTCATAAAGATCAAAACAAAAACATTACATTTGATAAATCTGAGGTTTAACACTCACCCACATTTTCTTTTCTGTCATTCACTTATTTTTTTGTGAATTTTATACTTAGTCCTTATGTTTATAATTAAGTGAAATATCAGAATCAGTCACATAGATCAATAAATAAACATAGATAAATCATCCTGAATCTGTTCTTTCAGGCTGATCAGAATCATTCACAGACGATAACTCAAATGTTGCCCATGCTGACAGTCTAAGTATTTAATTTGTCACTTGGATGACTTTTGGGATCATTATATCAAATATGTCATGAATCTTCAGAGTGATCAGACTTCAGTAAATGCCTCCATGATCTCATACCAGAACACGGCCAACTATAAGCCCACCAAATTCTTTTTCTTTTTTTTGTGCTAGATCAGTCATTTGCCAGCTTCTGAGAAGGGTTTAGATTGAATAAAACCTACAATGGCATATTTTATACACAAATCTTCTGACCTCAAGGGTCAATCAACATTTGTTTTATAACATGAGATTGGCAAAAGCTTGGGGACAGATAAGACAATGAGAACAAAACGAACATATGGATTAAAATATTTCAGTGTAAAAGTTTCCAAATATATTTCTAAGCATAAGTTGATAAGGACAATGTGCATCAAACTGAATAATATCAATAATGATTTGAGCCTCTGTATGCATATGTGTGCCCCAATAAACATGACAATAGTGAATTAAGCAATTAAGATACAGTGAAGTGTTTTATTCCTCAAGTGAGTTATCAGTGCGTGAATAAAGATGCACTATAGCCATCACCAACATCCATCATGAAAAACATAGGTGCAGATTTAAAGGTGACTGTATTCACAATGTGTTTGAAATGTACACTGCACAAGAGCACAGTGAAATATGTGTAATTATGTGATCAGACATGCATCCAATCATTCCATATGTGAACATGCAGATGTTATGTGACGTCATACCACGGCTAAAAATAGTTAACATACTGAGGCTCCCATTATAAGCCATTTACCCTACTGATGCTGCCTAATTTTTTATAGCACATTATACGAACAAGCACTTTCTGTGCATGAAGAAAATTTTGTGTGGGGTTTGTGAATCTATGCATAACTTCAAGTTACATGTCATATTTGTGAATTTTTTCATCTTACATTTCCAATATTTTTATTTTAAAAAAAAATAATAAAAAAAAAAATTTATTCCATATGTGAACATGCAGATGTTATGTGACGTCATACCACGGCTAAAAATAGTTAACATACTGAGGCTCCCATTATAAGCCATTTACCCTACTGATGCTGCCTAATTTTTTATAGCACATTATACGAACAAGCACTTTCTGTGCATGAAGAAAATTTTGTGTGGGGTTTGTGAATCTATGCATAACTTCAAGTTACATGTCATATTTGTGAATTTTTTCATCTTACATTTCCAATATTTTTATTTAAAAAAAAAAAACAAAAAAAAAAAAAAATGTAATTATGGTAAAAGTGTTATATTTTGTGTAAAAGAAATTATTTGTCCCTCAGAGCCGGCTATAGTGTCTCATGTTTGCTGTTCATCTATGAAAAGTTGTTTACAATTTTTTTTAATCAACATTATAAGGAGATCAAGCTCAAATAAATTGGCAAGAGTCTGTTGTAGTTTTAATATTACATGCTACTTGACTGACTCAAATGTTAAGTAATCTCCCATTCAAAAAATATATCTTAAAGTACTTTTTAGTGAGTTTCACATCTCATTAATGGCATATTATTAGTGTTTTTTTTATGATAACAGTATTTTAAAAGACAAAAACTGGGAGAATGTTGTCTTATACATCTATAAGGATAATTATAGCTTTAAGGTAAGCTCTGTTAGTAAGAATGATTTTTCTAAAACCTCTCTCAAAGTTCTCACTTTCAGATCAGTTGTTTGGTTTTTTTTGGCCATCGACTGTACCTTATTCCAAATGGCCATGTCTCTACATCACTAGATCCTTAGTTGAGTTCCATGTAGCTTGTTCGGAGTTCTTCTTTCAGAGTTTCTCAGTTTTTGAGTTCCATCTTTAACTCTTGTCATTGCTGTTGTTCTTCCAAAAATATCCTTTTAGGAATGACTCAGTCAGTCTGAATGTAAAGTTCCATGTTTGAGTTCTCTCACTGCCCACATCGAAATGCTCTCAATATGTACTGCGCTTACCAGCTGTGCCAGTCTGTAGTTTGAGAAACGCAGTCATAGTGAAGTCCAGGATTAAGATTTTTTGGTCTCATTTTTAAGAGAGCACCTGCGTAAGCTCCAGAAAACGCATGTCAGACCACTGCATGGGAAAAGACAGAAATGAAAAATAAAAGGATTACGTCATTGCAAGCCATGTAGAAGCCTTTTTTCCACATAATAAGATTCAATGAGGAGGAAATGCAGAGGGGTTTGATCAAACTACTCCAAAACACTTTACAAATCAATACCTTGTGCGTAAGGAACATTTTCTGATGAGATGAAAAGACAATAAGATGGAAGTGGAAGAGAAAATTTATAAAACATACACATATTTAAGACAAACATGACACAATGTTTCACCTTAGTATGATGACATGCAAATGTATTGATATGTTACTGTGGAAACATAGGCACAGTTCTACCTAACAATTAGAAATGCCTGACGATGCTGACAATGTGACAATGTCCTGTTGACAACTCTAATTAAAGGTTTGCAATACTCTGTCAACAAGCAGCACTGTTGTGCAGACTGGCAGTGATACTGAGGGCATTTGTATGGACAAAATTCCAACAATTCCATTTCTAATTGCGTAATTATGTCTGGGGATATTCAGTTCCTCCAGTGATTACACATAATCTGCCCACTAAGACAAGGAACATATGCTCACAACATAACATGAAATATGCTACCAAGCTAAAGTTTAGACACTTGACTGAATCGTTTTTCAAAATCGTTCTTTAAAATCTTTTGATCTAAAAGCTTAAAGGGATAGTTCACCCAAAAATTTAAATTACCCCGTGATTTACTCACCCTCAAGCCATCCTAGGTGTTATCGACTTTCTTCTTTCAGACGAATGCAATCAGAGTTATATTAAAAAATGTCCTGGCTCTTCTAAACTTTATAATGGCAGTAAATGGTGGTCGAGATTTTGAAGCCTAAAAAAGTACATCCGTGCATCATAAAAAGTGCTCCACACGGCTCCTGGGGGTTAATAAAGGCCTTCTGAAGTGAAGTGATGCGTTTGTGTAAGAAATATATCCATATTTAAAATTTTATAAACCGTAATCTCAAGCTTCCACTGTCGTACGTACACACATTTACGAGAGAGTGGCGAGGAAGTAGGCGTAGTGTAAGCTCCGGTGAGAATATGCTAGTCTCGCGAGAACCAAGATTTACTCACCCTCAAGCCATCCTAGGTGTTATCGACTTTCTTCTTTCAGACGAATGCAATCAGAGTTATATTAAAAAATGTCCTGGCTCTTCTAAACTTTATAATGGCAGTAAATGGTGGTCGAGATTTTGAAGCCTAAAAAAGTACGTCCATGCATCATAAAAAGTGCTCCACACGGCTCCGGGGGGTTAATAAAGGCCTTCTGAAGTGAAGTGATGCGTTTGTGTAAGAAATATATCCATATTTAAAATTTTATAAACCGTAATCTCAAGCTTCCGCTAACTGTCGTACACACATTTACGAGAGAGTGGCGAGGAAGTAGGCGTAGTGTAAGCTCCGGTGAGAATATGCTAGTCTCGCGAGAACCAAGCTTTGTTTACAGCAAAGGAAAACCAGTCTCCTCTTGGCTTATATTGAAATTTTTCTTTACAAATCCTTGTTTTGTACTATTCATGACTGACTGGTGTTTTGTTTTGCTCTCTCCTCTGCGCTTCCGCGTTCGTCACTTCTCACCGAAGCTGAATAAAGTTTTATAAATTAAGTTAATAAAGTTTTAAATATGGATATATTTCTGAAACAAACACATCGCTTCATTTCAGAAGGCCTTTATTAACCCCCTGGAGCTATGTGGAGCACTTTTTATGATTGTGATGAATGGATGCACTTTTTTGGGCTTCAAAATCTCGACCACCATTCACTGCCATTATTTTAGTTTAGAAGAGCCAGGACATTTTTTAATATAACTCCGATTGCATTTGTCTGAAAGAAGAAAGTCATATACACCTAGGATGGCTTGAGGGAGAGTAAATCATGGGGTAATTTTCATTTTTGGGTGAACTATCTTTTTAAGGATTTTTTTTTCAAATAGTTTTGTAGACAAAGTTAACACTTTAGTATAGTGATCAATTCTCACTATTACTGGGGGTTAATAAAGGCCTTCTGAAGTGAAGTGATGCGTTTGTGTAAGAAATATATCCATATTTAAAATTTTATAAACCGTAATCTCAAGCTTCCGCTAACTGTCGTACACACATTTACGAGAGAGTGGCGAGGAAGTAGGTGTAGTGTAAGCTCCGGTGAGAATATGCTAGTCTCGCGAGAACCAAGCTTTGTTTACAGCAAAGCAAAACCAGTCTCCTCTTGGCTTATATTGAAATTTTTCTTTACAAATCCTTGTTTTGTACTTCTAATTCATGACTGGTGTTTTGTTTTGCTCTCTCCTCTGCGCTTCCGCGTTCGTCACTTCTCACCGAAGCTGAATAAAGTTTTATAAATTAAGTTAATAAAGTTTTAAATATGGATATATTTCTGAAACAAACACATCGCTTCATTTCAGAAGGCCTTTATTAACCCCCTGGAGCTATGTGGAGCACTTTTTATGATTGTGATGAATGGATGCACTTTTTTGGGCTTCAAAATCTCGACCACCATTCACTGCCATTATTTTAGTTTAGAAGAGCCAGGACATTTTTTAATATAACTCCGATTGCATTTGTCTGAAAGAAGAAAGTCATATACACCTAGGATGGCTTGAGGGAGAGTAAATCATGGGGTAATTTTCATTTTTGGGTGAACTATCTTTTTAAGGATTTTTTTTTCAAATAGTTTTGTAGACAAAGTTAACACTTTAGTATAGTGATCAATTCTCACTATTATCTAGTTGCTTATTGGCATGCCTATTATTAACATATTGTCTGTTTATGAATACTTATAAAGCACATATTAATGCCTTATTCTGCATGACCATATTCTACATCCCTAATCCTAGCCCATACCTAAACTTAACAACTAACTTACTAACTATTAATAAGCAGCAAATTGGGAGTTTATTGAGGCAAAAGTCATAGTTAATGGTTTGTTGATAACGAGAATTGGACCTTAAAATAAAGATTGACCTAGACAAATATAAATTGTTTCTACAAATGATTTTCTTAAGAGAAAAATATTATTTGTTTTATTTACTGTTTAAAAGTTTGAGATCAGTAATTTTTTTTTAAGCAATTAATACTTTTATTGCAGAAGAATGCATTAAAATGTTCAAAAGACAGTAGAGAGTAAAGACATTTAAAATTTGTTACAAAAGATTTCTATATCAAATAAATGTATTTTCTTCAAAAAACCTAACATAAAATGTATAATGGTTTCTACAAAAAATATCAAGCAGCACAACTATTTTCAACACTGATGATATAAGAAATGTTTCTTGAACACCAAAATAGCATATTTAGAATGATTTCTAAAGGATCATGTGACACTGAAGATGGGAAAATTTAGCTTTGCATCACAGAATTAAATTACATTTTAAAATATATGAAAGTAGAAAACCATTATTTTAAACTATAATAATATTTCATAATATTACTGTTTTTACTGTATTTTTGATTAAATAAAGCAGCATGATTAGCATAAGAGACTTCTTTCAAAAATTCCCCCCAAACCTAAGAATGATTGTGTACATATATAATTTTTATTTTCTACATTTTAAAAATAACAGTAAATATTAAGTGGGTGTGTCCAAACTGGCAGTGTTTATCATTTACATCTTTCACATTAACTTGAAAGAAAAAATAAGGCAGCAGATTTCAATCTTTGTATCTTAATTAGGCTTGATTATGAGTTAAACAAAAGAACCGATTGAAAGCACTGACACACTTAATGCCCTACACATTTAAAATAAAAGTTTATTCGCCTTTGTTTCACCATGACCAACTATTACAGTAGTCTCATGTTCATTGACAGTCTTAGGACAGAGTGACAACAGATGGCTAAACTAACAGCTTAACCCCCTTGAGCAAAGACAAATCATAGGCCATTAAAAGTTAAAGGCCTCACACATATGCTGGTCTCAGTATGCAAACACCCCCTATTGATGATCATAATTAGACACCGCATGACACTTAACACATGACATTACAGCTCAGCAAAAAGTTGTGTAAAAATGGAAATATAGCACCAGAATACCTGTTTCTGAGTGACAGCAGGATGTCCCACCAGTCAGAATACTCCTAGGCTTCTCCGACCAACACGAAATGGTGTTACCTCGCCCACAACCACCCCGTCTCCACCAACAACTAGAAAGACAATGTGTGAAGTCTGCAAATGACCTCTTTCTCCTTCCACAAAAATTGTATTGCACAGTTGATTCAACAAAGACAGTTAACAGAATAAACCCAAACAAATAACCTGCTCTGGGGAAATTATGACATATGCTAGAATTCATTATCAGATTAAAAAAATTAAGCACTTGTAATTAGATTATATTACGTTCTAAAATGCTTATAAAAAGATCATACTTTTTATACAGTTCTACATACAAACATTGTTTGTACTGTAAATGTATGTCACATGATTGCAGAAATTCTAATATGCTGATTTTGTGCTCAATTTTTATTGTTGCCCAATTAATAATAATTGTTTTTATTATTATCAATGTTGAAAATTTTATTTGCTACTTTATATTGTTGTCGAAAATGTTTTTTTTTTTTTTTCAGGATTCTTTGATGAATAGAAAGTTCAAAAGAACAGTATTTATTTGGAATAGAATAGAAATTTAATGTTTCTTGGCTGAATAACATTTTTTATAAAAATTTGTTTTTATTATTATTTAACCCAAACTCTTGAATGATAGTGTATCACAGTTTCCACAAAATATTAAGCAGCACAACATTGATTTCAACACTGATAATAATAAGAAATGTTTCTTGAGCATTAAGTTAGCATATTAGAATGATTTCTGAAGGATCATGTGACACTGAAGACTGGAGTAATGACATATTTGCTGTCACAGTAATAAATTACATTTTAAAATGTATTAAAATAGAAAATAGTTCTTTTAAATTGCAATCATATTTCACATTATTACTGTTTTACTGTGATTTTTATTTTAAAAAAAAGAATAATAAATACAGATAAATGAGTACATTTAAATGAATAATACTCACTTTAGTAACGTGCACAGCAGCATGAGTACAACACTGCCCACCACACACAACACCAGCATGGTGGCCACAGTCTGTTGCCTGTGGTTAGACGCCACCACTGCCAAGAGGTCTGCATGTTCACATCGCATACCCATAAAGCCAGGATGACATCTACACAAACATGCACAAGAGTGACTTTTATTATAATTGAAAAGGGAGCTTTATAAAACTAAAGCCAAAAATGAAAATATGCACTGCAAAACATGAGTATGTTCAATAGATGTTCGTAAAAGCATTTCATTCCAAAATGAGGAATCTGCCAGTATCATGTTCATAATATCAATCAAATTCAAATTGACTAAAATTTATTTGACTTTTTGTGGTGAACTACTACATACGGATATGGACATAGAAAAAACAATAAATTCCCTGACAACAGGAGGACTCATACCAACTTAGACACAAGCACCAACACAGAGTTGAATACTGCTATTGTGCCAGATTTATACACGGAAATACAATATAGCAAAGGACAAAACACTCTTGTCTTGACAAGGACAGCTTAACGAAGATGCTGTAAGCATTTATCCAAAAGAATTTATCCAAGTGAGTCAGCAATCAAAATGCATGTCAGATTGTTTAGCTGTTTAATCCCATTATTATATGAAAATATAGGGCTGGGCAATATAGCTAAAAAATTTATCAACGATATAATGTTTCATATCGTTCGGTATCGATAATTATTGACATTTTTATAACCTTTTTTTTTTTTAAACAAAGAGCAATAGAAAAAAAGCGTTTAAATTTAGCCACTGTATTTTTAAATTAACCCAATTTATTGAGACAAACAAAAAATATTTTGTTTTAACAGTCAAACACAAAAGAAAAATTAAACATCTCATTTCTAATGTTTTATATGCAGATTAAATAGGTCTGAATTAAACTTTTGGCTTGTCTCCCGAAGCCACAGGGGAGCGCAATGAGCAAAATAATGCAGCGCATTAAATTGTCAACGCAAAGGAAATAACTAGAAATAGTGAAATAGATTCACAAAAGAAAAATGTGCATTACGTCTAAATTAACTCATATAAATCAAACATAATTTCATAAATTGCATAAACAATTATGAACAAAACAGCATCATGTATTTATGCATTGCTTAATACAAAGAGCTGAATCGCCCATCACACAGATTGCCTTTAAAAACATACGAGATGCAGTGAAACGGAATAAACCTCCACAAATTCGTAACGCGTTTTATAGAAGTTTAAACTGTTTTAACTTTGCATGGCTTTCTATACATCTCTTGTGTGAGACGTGAGAGCAGCAGGCATATTTGTCGGTCTAAAAAATGCGCTGAATTTGCGTTCTGTGTGAATGGCTTGGTTTCGGGTTTTTTTTTAGCTACTATATTTCTCTAATATTTTGAATGAATAACGCAGCAACTGCACGTCTGGTGGGCTAGACTTATCAAACATTAAAATGCAACAACTTCACTTACAACATCATCACCGCATCTCGCGCTCCAATAATGACGCTCCCTGACGCACACCTAACATTTGATTGTACTATTTTTGCATTCAAATGCAACTGTTTATTTTAAATTCGACTAATATTCTTTTTTTATTATTCAAAATCTCCTCATCACAGGCAGGCACAGCACTCAATTCAGCATGTGTTTGTGTTTGTGTGTGCGGTCTGCGTCACTCATAGCACGTGCCTATATCGTGCGCTATATCGAACAGTTTTTCTATCGTTATCGAAGAAGGTGTACTGTCGATAAATATCGATACCGTTTTATCGCCCAGGACTATGAAAATATATGAAAAAAAAGATACAAATTATATTAAAAAATAAATAAAAATCCCAAACTACAATCATAGTATTAGGATTTCTGGAATCTGGCTTTTTTTTTTCTCAGTGATCAAGATGCACAGCATTTGATTTAATATAAAAAGTGCCATAGCAATGCTAGTAGTGACAGCATTAAATAAAACGGCACTTATTCAAGTCTCTATGAGCACTCTCAGACAAATTTCCAACCTTCTGACAGCATGTTGTACACCGCTCTTGTAAAACAAAACCACCATTATAGCGACTGAAACATATATTGCAACATAAGACTGCTTGAACATACAGATCAGTTTTGATTGCTTGAAAACAGACCGTTCTTTATTATCAAATTTGAAAAGGCTAATGTGAACATGCAGATTGTTAACAGATTAGGGAATGTCAGAATGCAGGAAATATACATAGAAAAAAAACTATTCAATTTGAAAAAAAGACAATCTTACAACTTACACACATGCAGGTGTTTCCTCCAGTATGAGAAAGCGGCATGTGCCATGAAAACAGAAGTGGCTATGGGAGTCAGGGCAGTCATCGAAGTGAGAGTGGACAGCGGCTGCTATAAATTCTATAATTTATGCAAACAAAACAAAATAAAGAACAAAATAAAGAGAATCTGGGTTTAATATGGACATAAATGACAATTTCTTGTTTGATAAAATATAAAGATCTATGCAAGAATTCCTTAAAAATGTATTTGCAAATGTTATGCCTGATGACCAATAATACTGTTGCCCAGTATCTCAGTTCATCATAAATTTGTGAACATCACACAAGATTACTACATGACCCCGCTTTAAACAAACAGAATTATCTACTTATATTACATTTCCAGTCTTTATTACCATCAAAGCTAGAGCCAAATTAGTGATATTTTGAAGAACTGAAGAAGTGGAAGGTAGAAAAGAAGTTCTCAGCCAATCAGAATGAGAGGATTTTGTATATAGATCACAGCCCTTTAGAGTTTTTCAGACTCTATCCTCCCTAAGGCACACTTTTGAGTTAAAGAGAGCACATAAGCAGACATGGTGTAAGACAAGAAAAAGCTAGACTGGACTACCGGTCAAGATCTGAGGGGATTTCTTTAAATTGACAGATTCCAGTTTCTAATCATTGTGAGCTTTGTCTGCAGAAGTTATTTACATTGGATGAAAACTGTCTGCAGTACAATAAATAAAACAGAAAATTGTAATGGACAATGGCTAAAACCTTCTATCTTTGTGTTAGCAGCTTACTAAATACCACGTGTGATTCCATTATGAAAAAAAAAATCAAGTTTATAGCATTTTTTTACGAATTGGACAAAATGAAAGGAAGTACTTAAAGTTGCGATGAAACAGAAGTAACAAAAGATCTAAGTGTAAAGGATTATCGAAAAAGAAAAAAAATGTAGGATGTGGACTTGGTTCTATCCATCGTTGTTGATAAGATTTTGAGATGTGGCCGTTACACTGAAAAATGAATGCACGATTGCAGTTGATTGTTGAGGGGCAGTGTTAAAGCAGACAAAATGATTGGAGGTGCAGGATACATCACCAGAGAGAGGTCTGTCATTTTCATGGGAAGATCAAGTTCTGACACTTTGATTAAACATTACAAGGACAAAAAAGTAAAAAAAAAATAAAAAAAAGGAAACATACATGGATGAATCATTCACAATAAGATCTATAACATGCATTTACAAAATATATTTATAGGGTGAATTTTCATGTAATGTCGACTTCAACATTCAGAAAAAGTTGACAACCTCAAGACGTCAAACTAATTATTACACAAGTCACATATTACACATATTGTTAATTTTATATAAATTAAATATTTGAAATTGTATTATCTTTTTAATTTCTACGAGGCTGCAGTATAATATTTAATATATTCCATATTCACGGAATATATGAATTCTCAAATTCAAAAATATACATGGGATTTCAGGCCTATGAAACCCAAAATGAGCTGAGCATAAAGGAAAAAGCAGACAGAGCATACTTTTGACATGTGAAGTAGTAGTGGTTGTGGTCGTGCTGGTGGTGGTTGTTGTGGTAGTGGTGGTAGTTGTTGTTGTGGTGGTTGCAATGGTTGTTGTTGAGGTAGAATTCTCTTGCACCTGCCCATATGTAAAAAGGGATCCTACAAATCAAACACAGCAAGCACATATTCAAAAACAATAGCACTACAATGAAACTCTAATATTGTTGAGAACAGCTAAGTAGATTAGGACGAGGTGTTCAAAACTATTCAAATGTCACTGCTACTGCCTCTGTGAAATCTAGTATTGTGAACACCTTACCCAAATGTGAAAATGAGGATCCAACAAAGTCAAAAATTGCCAGACTCATGACCGTTACAGCAATGAGAAAACAGCGGAACAACAGCATGACACACTAGAGAGAAAAAGGCTTAAGTGGCGTCCAGTGCAAATGAGAAATAGCTACTTAAAAACCTCTTGCTTTAGACTCAGAGATCAATTAAAATGCCCTGGAACATCAGTGGGAGTAACTGACTTCTGACCTTCAGACTATTTTAAGAGCTGCTAGGGAATGACTGGGTTAAGATAAATTAAAGTGGATTTGTGATGCGGATCTCTCCGCATACACAGGTAAGACACTGCCGGACGAATCGTTGTCATGGCGTGCCTAATTCACTCGTACATTTACAGAAAACGGCATAACCACCACAAATCCCAAAATGTATCGCTCTGCTCTAAAAGTTAGCTAGAAATAGCGTTTTAAGGCATCATATATGCGTAGAGTTGCATTGCAATGAGCTCAGTGGAAAATAATGCTAATGCCAAACTACTGAAAACCCTTGCAGAGAGCTATCTGTATAGGGGTTAAAGTTGCTGTCTATATGTGTTCCAAATCATAAGGTTCCATGATGGTTAGGAAGCAGCTGCTTATGTAGGCAGTAGACAGTGATGCAGAACAATCAGTTCTTGAAAAAAATACATTTTTGACACTGGGCTGTCAATTTAACGTGTTTAATTCTATTAAACAATGTTACTATATAAATACACTTCATAAGGCCTCTCAATCGATTTTATGTTAAACGCTAATAATATTGATAAATGTGATTTTTTTAAAGATTGATAGCTATAAAAAACTATATTCTCTTTTTAAGTAAAGGCCACTCATCCATTGTAAGGACAAAAAAAAAAAAAAAAACACTGAGCTATTTCTCAAAATATTTACACGCATGTTCCATAAAAGAAAGTAAGTCACACAGTTTTGGACCAAGATGAGGGTGAGTAAATAATGACAGAATTAGCATTTTTGGGTGACCTAGCCCTTTAAGTTAAGGAAACCCTTTCTTATCCTTGCAAGGATATTCCTTCTAAAGATTTTCTTAACTTAGCAGCTACCGTTCTTTAACCATCATTGTACCAAAATCACTTACTGAGATAATGGGACCTTTATCACTGGAAACCTAGCCTATATCCTTGAAAAACAAAAACAGCTGCTTACAGTACAGATACAATTAGTCATTAAAAGTAACTACTTAACGGGGCATTAAGTCAAATCAAATCAAATTTATTTGTAAAATTATCATCATTCACAACACGCATCGTTTCAAACCAGCTATACAGAAAGTTGTTCTGTTATGTCAGTGCTTTACCATAGAGCATCCTGCCTGGGGCAGGTTTAAAATTACCCAGTCATGATGTAATGCATATTAACATTTGCTTAATATTAAAAGCACAGAAAGCAACAATACACATGATGTCCTGCTGATTTTTAAAATTGCTTCATTAAACTTTACTGACTTTCTCTCATTGAAACTGTTTGCTGAGTTAAGAACTTGCCTTCATTGTAGAAACAAAGCCATAAAAGATGGACACTAAAGAATAGCTCTATATTTAAACTAAGCTCTGTTAACCTCGTTAATGGCAGGAGCAAGACTACTGAGCCAAAGAAGCTGCTGGACAAAAAAGGACAGCAAACCACTGCTTCTTCAATGCCTTGGATAAACACTAACAGCACATTATTCATGCTATAAAGCTAAAAAGCTGTACAACAAAGCAGAATTATTATATGTTGGGCATTACTAATAAGTCTGTCATTACTGGTGATGAGACTGAAACGGTGGGTGTCAGGAGAGACTCCCTTGACATACTTCCCCTAATAGTATTGTTTTTTATATTGACGATTATAGAGTGCTGTCAAATTATTATGCTAAAACTCTCTCTCTCATATTATATTAAAAATGTGGCGACATGTTGTTTTCTTGTAAAGGGCAATATTTCCAACGTTTAACCCTAATATTTTGTTTTCGTGCCTCAATAATTGATGTATATTATTATTTACTTAATAAAAATAATGCCAGTAAATCGAATGAACACAACATAAAATATTTTTACTCACCGGTGAGAAGGAATATTGTATCCCAAAAAGCACGGTACATCATTATAAGGCGTTTATGTGACTTGTTGGTGAAGGATTCGCAGCGTCGTCTCTTATATTAAAACGTTTAACACCTTTGCCAACTTAAAGGAAGGCACGCTCGTATTCTTAGGATTGGCCAATATTATTGATAGTCCGCTGCAGAGGTTAGAAATCTGACTTCCATAGTTAAACTGTGTGCGTCTTTCTTCATAGTTGCATGTGTCCTTCTCGACAAAAGACGCCATGCGTCGATTCAGGTATTTTGAACTTGACGTCAAACTTGAGCAACGGCGTCTTACCACTGACGTCATATAAAGCCCTAACTATATATTTTTTTCTAATTCACTATCATGATAAAGATAAGCGGTAAAACATTGTTAACTACAAAACCACGTTACTAATAATCACTCATAGCACAGAACCCTCTCCACTCTGACATCCTTCTGTTGTGCGTGCGTGTGCGTAGTTCGTGCGCTCGAGCAGTGTTGCCAACTAATTTTTAGGGGAAGTTGCTAAAGGAAGATTGATTTGTTGCTAAAAGTTGCTAAATGACGCGATGTCATCGCGCGGGCCAACTTAATTCATGTGAATTGTGTACTGCTAGGCACCTTTGGTTTCCTCTTTTTGTGTAATTTAGATGGAAAATGTGTGCCTTTTTTATCGTTTGAGTCACTTATCAAAAGTTGCTAAATGTTGCCAAATACATTTTAAAAAATAGCTACATTTGTTGCTAGGTGCTTTTGGAAGAAAAAGTTGCTAGGCTAGTCTGAAAAGTTGCTAAATCTAGCAACAAAATTGCTAAATTGGCAACACTGCGTGTGAGGCTGAGCTAAAGAGAGGCGTGCATTGCTGGAGATCGGGGAGTGTTGTAACATATTTTGTTTAAACCTCTGTAACTATTTTTTTTTTCGATATAAGTGATGTCATAACTATTTTTCAGTTTTTTTTAAATACGCATATTTATTTTTTTGACATTGCTTTGATATTCAGAACTAACCTACAGAGTGAGTTAAATTTTTTATTTATTGTTAAACGTGTACTAAAAATGTGTGTGATACAGTTTTTTATTATTGGTCAGTAACTTCTTTAGAAGCGGTAGGTGATGACTAAATGTAATGTAAATGTAAATGTAACATCTCTTTAAGCATTTTCTTAGCTGATCCAAAGTGTTAAATGCTAATTTGTCTCATAGGTCAACCATAAACCAAGCTTTTACCTATTCCTTAAACTCTTTATTTATTTATTTTGGCAATTCAACATTAGAGTGCAAACTTCAAGAGTGCAAAAATATGATAATGTTATGCTGTCCCCTAATGGAATGAATGGATAGGCTTAATATATTACTGCTGTTCTATGCTGCGATACCATAAATATTTCTTAAGTACATGTGTTGATTGAATGTAAAACAAGCTGAAAATAATTTTTATTTAAAAAAAAAATTAATATGTAAATATTCTGTTTTACAGTACCTACAGTTATATTTATATTCCGATAGGTGGAGTTGAACTAGTTTAATATAATCGAATTTTCTTTTAAATGGACTTGGACTTTAAAGTGGACACAGTGCCAACGTATAGTTTGTACGGAGCAGTATAGTTTAATTCAGCAGGTGTTCTCAAGAGAATTCGAAAATCTTTTACAGCATTGTTTTATCTAGTCAAGTGGGTGGTTGGTTAAACTATTCTGAGGTTACTTATTGGCTGTAATATTCGTAGAAGTTTGTCATAGTCTCGAACTCTTTTCAACGCACCTTTCTCAGAGCATTACTGTCTCATCTAATGGCGAGCACAAACTGATTACTACCTTCTCTATTCTTGGATTTTATCCTCTGGATTATTTTTCTCAAAGCAATATTAGTACCTATAAAGAGGACAGCATGACCACAAAGGAGAAGAAGGTAGAATGTTTATGTCCTATTGCTGCTGTTATTTTTCATTAGTCTGATTTTTGTTTTTAAATTAAATAAATAGCTGTGAGTTTCACTGTAAAGTCATATAAATGCGACTAATAATGACATTTTAATAAAATATTATTAAAAAAAATACATTTAAAATTAATTTGTTGACCGCATCAAGGGACTTAAAATCCCTTTTATAGGTTCATACATAACATCATATGATGACACTTAGAAATTAAATGTTTAATAGTCATTTAATAATTTAATTGGAGTTATTTTGTTGTGAAGTTGATTTGTTTGTTTTGTTGCCTAGAAGTGCATTAAATGCTTGTAAACATTATAGTTGATTTGCCTAAACAGGGTCATACATACATTTTAGTATTAATGGTGACCTCTACAGCTATTGGGGGAACTCTACAATATGGATACAATCTGGCCATAATGAATGCACCAGCTGTTGTAAGTGTTTCATTGGCTTTGTGTTTGTGAAAGAGTAAAAATGTTTACATTTATGTCATATTAGTAGTCTCTTTGTCTGTTAAGGCCAATTACCCGTTTTCTGTTCTGTGTTCCTTCCTGCAGTTCATTCACTTTGTCAATGAGACATTTCTGGAGCGATGGTGAATACAGTTGGGGGTTTATGAGGTCACACTGATATGGACCTTTATCGTTTCCATTTTCTCACTGGGCGACTTTATTGGGGCCCTGATAGCAGGGCCAGTGTCTGTACGTTTCGGGAGGTACAGTTAATCTTGTTGTTATACAGTATAATGTTAAAGTTCATGTTTCATACAAATTGTTTTATTTATCTTTAATTAGACTTATTTAAATATGATTTAAATTTAAAAATGAGTGAACTTTAAATAAGTAATAAATCTTTATTTTATGCCCTGTTATGTTCTCTTTTCCAAGGAAGAAGACTACGTTGCTGAACAATGTCTTTCTCTTATCAAGTTCACTGCTTGCATTGCTGAGCCGAACAGCAAAGTCATTTGAGATGATTATCATCTCCAGATTTTTGGTTTGCATAAATGCAGGTACTGTCTGTGTATATATATTACCTGTAAATGCAATTTCGTTAATGAACCCTT